TGATTTAAAAGTCAAATTCATTTGTAACCAATAACAGTTATTGTCATGATGGGAGTGTTTAGTTTCTCCTTTTAGAGTTTTTTTGTATCTTGTCCAAAGCATGAAGGCATCTTAATTCTTGTTCAGGATTTTCAAATGGCATATACTATGAATATCAATGCATTTACATTAGTAGGAAAAAAAAACATGCAAAGTAAACAAACAAACAAAAAAACTATAAGAACAAGCAGAATAATAAAAATTAAAAAAATCAAAGACCAAAATGTAGAACTATAATGAAAAATTATTGTATCAAAACATAGTGCATAATGGTTTTATTATTTTTCTGAACTCTTCCTGTATAATGGACAATTTATTGACCATCCAAATGCAGAACGAATGGAGTGTTGTTCGTCTTTCCTTTTTATCTAACAAATATTGAAGGGTTTACACTGGGGAAGGAAGATACTGAGTGAGGTGCAGCAATTCCTTTGTGGTAGACTAGTGGCAAATATGTTACCAAATTCAGTTTTCAACACTTAATAGGGAACACATAGTGCCATATACACAAAAGTCACTTAAGTATTGATTGATTTTTATGAAATTGACTGATGACCAGTGCACATATAGGTGTATGGGAATTAACCCAGGTGATTGATGCTTATAGTTGGTGTTTGGTTTCCCTCAGAAGGAGACTCTATGCTAGGGGTGTCGAACTCAATCAAAGAAGGGGCCAAATTCTAAAATCCAGCCTAAATCGCGGGCCGAATGGTTTACTGAACAGTCATAAACTGTCATTGTGATGGAAACGCAGCGGAGTGCAGTGATGACAGCGCGGTGGGGGCCACATTGCAAGGCCTGGCGGGACGGATTTGGCCCGCGGGCCTTGTGTTTGATACATGTGCTCTATGCTATGGATTATTTGGGATTACCAGGACGCACTAGCAGAGGGGTGGGAAGATACTCACCACAGAGCTACACTGGCTATATGACAATTATTAAATTATTTAGATGAAAAGGACAAATTCTTAGTATAATGAAAAATACTAAAGCTAACTCAAAAAGAAATAGGAAACCTAAATAGACATACAAGGAAAGTGACTGAATTAGTAACAAAACAACTTCCCACAAACCAAATTCCAGTTCCATATGGCTTCACTGATGAATTTTGTTTAACATTTAAAAGAGAATTAACACCAATCCTTCATAAAATATCCTAAAAATAGAAGAAAAGGGAACATTCTATTAGTCCAGTGTCACACTGATACTTAAAGACAAAGATAGTGCAAGAAAACTTTAGACCAATATCCCCTTATGAATACAGACACACAAATGCTGAACAAAATGCTAACAAATCAAATACAGCAACATATAAAAAATTACACTCCAAAACCAAGTGAGATTTATCTTAGTATGCAAAGTTACTTTAATACCATGAAAATAAATTGATGTAAAGTGTCACATCAATAGAATAAAGGGCAAATGCTTTATGATTTTCTGCATACGTGCAAAAAAAGTATTTGACAGAATCCAACACCCATTTATGACTTAAAAAAACAACAACGCTCCATGAAGTAGTCATAGAAGGGATTCAATTTATATAAAATATCTAGAATAAGCAAATACATAGGAATAAAAACTGAAATAGTAGTTGTTAGAGCCTGGAGGGAGAGAGGCCAAGGAATAACTGCAAATGGACTCAGGATTTCTTTCTGATTATACATTTTTTTCCTGAAGTTAGAGAGTAGTGATGTTACACAATTCTATGCTAAAAACACTGAATTGACACTTATAAATTATGTATTTTATATAATGTGAATTATATCTCATGACAGCTTTTATAACAAAGTAAGAGTCTATAAAAAGGTGAATCAGGGGAAATAGTATTTTTATGGAGAGATAAGGTTAACTTTAAGAATAGTAACAGCTTTAAAAGGAGATGAGAAGTGATAGGATTATAGATATTTTTTAGACTCAATCAGACTTATTATTTAAAAGAAAAATCTTGTGGTTTAAAACAAGATTTGTGACTGAGGGTTGGAATAACAACAAAAATTATGGGGAAAGTCTTGCAAGTACAGTTGATTTTGGAAAGAAAAGTAAATTTTGTTTGGAACATGATGAGTTTGAGAAAATTAATAGATAGTCAAGTGGAGATGTCAACTAAATAGATACAGGAGTCTAGATTTCTTTCTTTCTCCCATGAAAAGCGAAGTCATCATCCAAGATTGCATTTCAAATGCAGAACCCTGGAAAGTTGTGTTAGATGTACCAGATATGTGTAGTCCTCACACTGGGATATTTCACTAATGCCTATTGATTAGTTATAGCTCTGGGCATCCATCTATATGGAAATCCTCCAAGTCTTATTACCAAGAATCATTTTTTCAGTCTCGGAAATCTATTGGGTATTTGTGGTCAGCATGTACTTAGCTGATTTTTCTTTTTCTGAACTTTCATAGCCAAAGAATATTTCTTCCAGTGCATACATTCTTTAGCAGACCATGAAATCATTTCTTTAAGGTAACTTTGCATATTCTTCTTCATCTTTAGGTTTTGCTCTTTTTAGAGCTTTAATGGTAAAATCCTATTTTTCACTCTTGCTGGTATTCTCTACAGCCATTAGGTACTGATAATACTCTCCCTTACTCTTCACTTTCCATTTGGCATGCGGTGGATGTTTTTCATATCCTTAAGCATGAATATATTCACACATTTCTGCCATCTCTCTTTTTCAAGTTACGGTAACTCTTCCAGACTAAGGAAGACAATTGCTTTTGCTTTTATTTGGGTGAAGACCACGTTAACATTTTAGTTTCTCTGCTCTGGAATATTTTAAATCATTATCTACAATTACTAAAATTTTATTTTATTGTTTATTGAATAAATGTGATAGTATTATTGATTTTGTCAAATAAAGGGAGGGAGAAACAAACTTGGGTCTCCTTCCCTCCCTTCCTTTCTTCCTTCCACATATATAATTTAGGTCCAGCACAGGTCCAGTCCAAGATGAAAATACAGGGCCTTTAGTCAGAAAATGATTAAGAAATTTAAAAATAGCCCGGTGGTGCTGCTCAGTAGGCTGGGTATCCTGTATACCAAAAGGTTGCCAGTTTGATTTATGGTCAGGACATGCCGGGATTGCAGGCTCGATCCCAGTAGGGGACATGCCAGAGAAAGCCAATGGATGTTTCTCTCCCCATCTCTCTTTCTAAAAAATCAATTTAAACAAACTTATTAAAAATTAAATTTTAAAATAGTAATAATAGAACATTAAACTGGGCATGGGGCTTTTCCGAGAACAGAGTCCTGTGCACAAGTTGCATATCCATGAAGCTGACTCTGTGCAGGTCTTTGGAGCAGGTGGCAGCTGAGAATTAACTTTGTAAATGCATTTAAGTTTCAAATCAGTTTTATAATAAAATTTCATAAAAATAATTTTTGTAATAGAATAGTATATACATATAATAAAATGGAATGACTATATTTATTTGGAACACTATAACAATGTCTTTGGCACAGAGTATTGTGGTGAATACAAATATGCAGTAAATGAGAACACACTTTTATTTCAGCTCTACTATGGGCTGTGTATAATGCTTTGGCTTACCTTGAGGGCTCAGGAGCCTGCTTGCTTGGGTTATAAGTGTGAGTCATTGGGCACAGTCCCTTCCTTTTCTGTACATATGTGTACGCACACACTAGGATAAGCAAACACCGATCCCATAGGCTTGTTATGTAGATTAATATATGTAAAACTTTTTGAAGAAGGCTACTCCGTTTATTCATATTCTTTTTATTTTTATTTTTTGGTTTTGCCATAGTGGATTCAATATCCCAGATTTAGTTTCCTCTCTCTTTCATGATTATAAATGAATGTCCCTTATAATATTAAAATATTTCATGGTAGTGTTTGTCTAGAATTAAAAATTTGATAGTTACTAGATAAGACATTCATTTCATGATGATAGAAATTTTTATTGTATTAGTTTCCATCATCATTTATCCCCTGACTGTAAGATGGTAGAAATTAATGATGCCTTTTTCTTCTATAAGAACACTTAAAGTGTTTTTCTCTTAAAATATTTCCTTTGAACTTTCCCCCCTCACCAATTGCCTTACTTAAAATTACCTGGCTAACAGAGCAATCCAGTAAATTGTGTTACAGTCAATAAGGGACATAATTATAGACTTTAATTCAATCCAATTGAAATGAATGCTAAATAAGTCTTGGCAATTTTGGCATTCTTTTTAAAGATAGTACATATGTGCCCTTATCACCCCCACTGCCCCCTTACTCACACAACTCATGCCCTCATCCCCCTGGTATCAGTGCCCATTGGCTAGGCTTACATACATGCATACAGGTCCTTTGGTTGATCTCTCCCTCTTACCCCCACACTAAGTACATTTAAAAGCAAGCTTGTTTGGAAGCAATCTGTTGTGATTAATGTATATTATTGGCTTTTATTTTTATATAATTGAATAATGATTTTTTATATTAATATGAATTATATTTATTTGTAATGATTAACAGTCTGTTTTGTGCCTTATTCAGAAGATTCTTTAATTTATAACCTAAAAACTAAATCTCTACTATCATTAAGTACCATCTGAAATATTTAGTTTAAGAATCAAATACAGGACTATATCACAGAGTAATCATACTAACTGTATTTTATTTTTAGTACCTGTGGGAAATTTATTGAAAATTAGTTCAATTATGATAGATTCTAAGAAACTATTAATTTTGAGAAATATGCTTACAAAAGAATGTTCCAGTCAGTTGTAGTTTCCAAGAAAGAAGATCTTAATACTTTTAGGAATTTTGCATTTAGGGTTGCCAGAATCTATGAAATAAGTGAGCAATATAGATATTTTTGTTGGTTCTGAAAGTTGAAAAGAAAGAGCAATATCCCTAAATATCATAGTTTTCTAACCATGCCATGAACCTGACTCCTTCTGTCTCCTGTGCCTCTCATAACCTAATATTTATATTCAATCTCATTTTCTCATATCAGACAGTATTACTGAAGTCTTCACTAACATCTATGTGACCAGTTTTGGCCCTGTCTCAGACACAGATATGGTGAGTTTTTCATTAAATACTATTTTTATTGAATATTTGCAAACTTGGGAGGGATAATTTTTTTTAAGAAGAAAGGAGTATTTTTACTGTTAAAGGATTATGTGATTGACTCTTGCTTATTTATTCTAGCCAAATACATGAGAGTTAAGGATGTTAATCATTTTGTATCTGTGGCACTCCATTGTAGCTTGGGTGTTCCGATTAGTCCTTTTTATTTTATATATATTTTTGTATCACCAAAAAGACAAGAGTTAATAGCATTGCTGAAGATGTGGAGACAATGGAACCCTTGAGCACTGTTTGTGGTGATGTAACACGGTACAACCATTGGAAAACACTAGGGAAGTTCCTAAAAAATTAAAAAATATAATCCATAGATCCAGCACCCCACTTCTGAGTATCCATCCTAAGGAGATGAAAGCAGGATCGTAAAGAGGTATCTGCTCTCCCATGTTCATGATAGGCTAATTCACAATAACCAAGGTATGGAAACATGGTATATATACACAGAGGAATATTATATAGCCACGAGAAATAACAAAATCCTGCCATTTGCTACAAGATGGATTGATCTTGAGGGCATTATGCTAAGTGAATTAACAGGGAAAGACAAATTCCATGTGTATTACTTTTGTCAAAAAAAAAAAAATTAAGCTCTTAGAAACCAAGATAAAAAATGTGGCTGTCAGGGTCTGGGGGTGGGGATAGGGAGAGGTGGATGTAAAAGTGCAAACTTTCAGCTGTAATGTAAATAAGGTCTGAAGGTCTAATGTAAAGCATTGTGACTGTAGTTAATAACACTGTATTGTATAACTCAAATTTCTAAAAGAGTAAAACTTAAACAAATGTCACACACACAACGATAAATAGTTGAGGTAATGGATGTACTAATTAGCTAGATGGGGGGAATTCTTTCACAATGTATAGGTACATTAAATTGCTACAATGCACATTTTAAATATCTTACAATTTTATTTATCATTTATACCTCAATGAAGCTGAATTTTTTTCTTAAAGGGAAGGAAAAGAAACTGAAATTATTTAGCTAGTGTTTCCATGTGTGACTTCCTTTCAGGGAAAGTTGGCAAATTTATACATTTCTACAAATCACGAGTTATGAGAAAAGTCAAGTAAGGAAAATAATGGGGAAAAGCATTATAATTCTGCAATTAAAATTAAAATTTAACAGTTAACACAAGGAATCTACTGATGTCAAGTTGAAATGAAGAACAGGGGATGCTGATGTGAAAATCTTAAGACTTGAAGATTCAGGATAACATGTGCCTGAACTGGGACAGGACTGTGTCCCAGTGAAGTAGTCATGATCAGCCAATCATGCTGCAGTGTGTCTGTGGTCCTGTCTGCTCTGTCACTGTGTTTATGAAAGCTTCTTTGAAAAATTTAAAATCTATTCTACATTCCCATGAGCCTATGTTTATTTACTTTTTTTCTTGGTTGTCCCTATAAACAAAAAGTAGTTTAATAAAATATTGAAATGAGAAAAATAAATGTTAATGTTTATATGCAAAAGAATAAATAAATAAATAAATAAATAAATAAATAAATAAATAAAAATAAAAGGTTGGTAGCTAATACTAGGCATGTAGTCATTAGCAACAAAATATTTTTAAACTTCATTTTTTTTAAATTGAAATAAAAATTTGGTTTCTCTTAAAAATATATTATTTATTGATTTCAGAGAGGGAGAAGAAGAGAGATATAGAAACATCAATGATGACAGAGAATCATTGATTGGCTGCCTCCTGCATAGCACCCCACACTGGAGATCAAGCCTACAACACGGGCATGAGCCCTGACTGGGAATTGAACAGTGTGACTTCTTGGTTCATAGGTCAATGCTCAACCACTGAGCCACACCAGCCAAGCAAAATTTCCTCTCTTCAGCGAACTTCAACCCAAGAACTTCAAAAAATGTTAGCACACTCAAGATTTGATTTCTTCTTTTGGAGGCCCCTACCAGATTTTATATTAAACATTAAAATTGACTTACTTTCCAAACTAAATACAATTGAGTTGAGTGGAATTGTGGTTGGCAACATATAAAAAATCAGTTTGGTTTTTTAATTTTATTTTTCTGTTTTGGAATGTATATGTATGTGAGTGTGTTTATGTATGTGTGCACATGCATCTATATATTGAGATATTTTACCAAATGAAGTAAATATTTTACATCTCAGAGACTTTTGAAAGCTTTGTGAGCCCTCTACAATTTTCTAATGTTACATTTCCCTGAATTCCCCGGCCTAACACAGTCCAATAGCATTCTCTTTGGTCATGTCCAATTTCCTACTTCATTTCCATCTTTATTCACCTGCTTATTGAGTCTTACCAGTAGTCTCCTTGGAGGAAGTCTGATGAATTGCAAGACCGCCAAGTGAGCACTGGATCAGAATCCAGTCAGAGGAAAGGATCCTCAGCAGTCATTTGAAGAGGGAAAATCCAATATCATTCATTATGGACTGTGCAAATGGCTAACTAATAAAACAGGGTAAGAGAACCCCAATCAATGTAGAATTAGCACACACAGAAGGCAATGTCTACTTCTAGGAGTGAAGGGTCATGAAAGAGGGAGACAGGGAGGACTTAGCAGAGTGCCCTGCCCCCGAAGGCTGCGTCAGACCTCTGTGAGGAGTAAGTTGGTGCTCCAGCAGCATGCCACTGTTGCTGGTGAAGAAACCTGGGAGGGTCTTTGTGGAAGCTGGTGCATAAGAATATCCTGCCTGGTGGCTGAAAACTCCTCATATAAAAACCTTTTGAAGCAACACAAAGAATCACAAGGCATCTGAACCATCAAGAGAAGCACAGAGAGTAGTCTTCTTTGGCTAGAACATCAAAAGATTCCTCTCATACCTTTTACTGACAGAGCCCAACGTTGTGCCAACTGGCAAAGGACCAGTGTTTACAGAGTCCTTCTGCAGTATCTCCGAGAAGGAGAAAGGAGGGTGCATGTGGAGCTGAGAACCAATACACTGATAATTGGTATACATAATAATGTGTGGAATGGGGAGGATTTTGAATGAGAGCCAAGAGATGGTTTGATCACACAACAGGTACTGTTTGTTATTTGTCCAAATCTAGAGAAGCAGGATGAAGCTGGGGAAAATAAAAGCTGAATTATCTATATGCAAATGTAACACAGACAGATACAAATAGACATACTTAGTCATATTGCACATCTACTAGTGAAGACAGCACTCCATCTAAAAGCATGTATGTATTTTGTGAAAAGAAATGACTTGGTCTTTTTGATGATCAATTGGAGTGATTTTCAACCTTGATATTATTATTATTTTTTTTTTGCTGGAAAGAAAGATAATAAGGGGAAGTTTGAATTTATTTTGGTATACAGGGCCCGATCAAGAAACCACACTTGGCTGTGACACTTTAAATAGAAAGTGATTGAAATGGTAAGGGAACATGTACCCATATCATTATCAGCCATATATAAAAGTGGCTTTCAGAAGCAATTAGGCAATGGAAGAAAAGCAAAGGATAAATTTAATTTTATTTTTATTGGCTTAGCAGATACACTCATTTCTATGCAGTGCACACACTGAATAGCAAGACCTAAACCCCCAAGTCTTCCTGTTCAGGTCAGTGATGGAGATATGCTGTGACATTAGCTTGAGAGGAAAAAGCAGCATAGCAGAACGTATTAAAAACGAAGAGAAAACACACTCACACACACACATAAACTATCTCAGAATCATTAACCAGTATAATTGTCCAGAGAAAGGTGAAGTTCTAAATTATAATTAAAGTTCTAATTACAGTGTCTGCAATTAAGTTTAATCTTTTTTTATTTCAACATTTAAGCTATTCATGAGTAAGAAGATAATTAAACTTGGAATGTACTAGTAGTTGACAACTGACAAGGTTTTAGTAGGCATGTAAATTTCAGAAATTTACAATTCACTCGTTGCTAATTTTTCTCATTGGTTTCTATATAGATGGCTTTTCCCATATTAGTAAATGCTTTTACTGTGTGCATATATTTTATTGATTTTTTTCAGAGAGGAAGAGAGAGGGATAGAGGGTTAAAAACATCGATGAGAGACAATCATCAGTCAGCTGCCTCTTGCACACCCCCTATGGGGATGTGCCCACAACCAAGGTACATGCCCTTGACCGGAATCGAACCTGGGACCTTTCAGTCTGCTGGCCAAACCAGTTTCGGCAATGTGGGTGCATATTTTAAGGCATAATGGTATAGCCACCAACTACTGCAACAACAATTAGGCTAAGAACCTTAGCTCATATGGTTATCTCTTGCAGGGCTAAGTATTAAGGTTAGAACTTGAACGATGGGGACTTTGAAGTCATCTCAACATTACTGATTCAGAGTTTATCATTAGGCTGTTAAGGAGTAGCCAGGCAGGGTAAGTGCTGACCTTGGTTTCTAGACCTAATTTTTTATTTTATTTTTACCAAAACACAGTGTTCAGTATCAATTAGATCCTCCAGCAGCCATTGGGATATTGTGCTGTTTGTTTAGTTAATATCATAGGAAGGTTTCAGAGAGTTGTTATATGTCAATATTTGGTCAAAACTTGATACTGGACATAGATGCTAACTTTTATCAGAAGTTGTCATTTGTAAATGACCTCTGCAAATATGGCAAATAATGCATATCAAAAGTAAAGACATAATGTTTGCTCACTATAAAGTTGGCATGTAGAAGTTGATTATTGGAGGGTCATTGATATTATGGAAAGATAGAGTTTAGATTTGGGGAACCTTCATTCATTCAGCCAATATTTTTCAGCACCCTCCAATAGTTTTTAAAAATGTTTCCCAAAATGCGTTGAATATCTGCCCCCTGGTGGTCAGTGTGCATCATAGCGATTGGTCATTCAGCTGTTTGGTTGATCTGCTTATTAGCTTTTAATTCAATAGGATTAGATGCAATGATGTGCAATGATGAGTATATTTTTTACTTGCAGCCCTTAGTCAAGATAGGATACGATTTGTTCGGTAAT